ATAGCATCAAATTACCCACTTCCCTAACTTTTGGTATTACACTGCAATTGTTTATAGGGTAAACCTAACTAAAAATGTCGGATCCCTTACTGCGGTATAAAACGATCCCTTTCATAATGCGCAGGAACTACGCGGTGCCAACACGACATTGCCCAATACTCCACCCACCCTTTTTATAGCCTAGCCGATACCTTATTGAATTGCCTAGTCCCCGTATAAGCGCCTATTTTCTCTCTATTTTTGTAATCTATCTAGACTATAAAAAACTACCCATTAATAAATTTAAAAGTATAGTTAAAGAACACTTACTAAAAAAAGCTTATTACACTACAAATGATTACCTTAATGATAAATTACCTTGGAAATAAGTCTCTCAGGCTCTCACAATGTACCTAATTAATTGTATAGATACATTAGTTGCCATCTCTCTCTATTGTATTATGGTGCCTTGCTTTTCTGTCTGGAGTTTTCGTACCTTGTCTACTAAATAGTTTTATATCTGGCACTTAGTCAGAAGGATATCTTGGACTTGTCATGCTCACTAAAATGTCTTTGGGGTAGTGGCGTGTGAGGCGGGTCGCTACATTCCCTACAATATGGTCGAGTGAAGCGATGGCTGGTTCACACGTCATGTCTGTGAACAGGCGCTGCCTTCGGGGACTGGTCAAGACTAGATATACCTACCTTATTTTTTTTAACATAACAATTAACAATCAAGCTAGACAGTGGCACGGCACTAAATATAAATATATACAATTTATTTAAAACTACCACACGGTTTTGTTATGGTGCCTTGCTTTTCTCTCTAGAGTTTTCTTGGGGTCGTTACATTCCCTATAATATGGTCGAGTGAAGCGATGGCTGGTTCACACGTCATGTCTGTGAACAGGCGCTGCCTTCGGGGACTGGTCAAGGAAAGATGTACCTGACATAAAATATATGTATCAAAACGCAACAATTAACCTAGAAATTAGCACGGCACTAAAGAAATTTATTCAAAACTGCCACGCGGTCTCGTGCTAGATGGGCGTCTTAAAGGCCACCTTCTATCAACGGGAGCGCGTGGTAAGTAACTTGCTTCTGAATGTATGTAACTTCCTACTTTTTTATTTTTAAACCGGCAGACAGTGGTGACTGAGTTTGTTGCGGCGCTTCTTCTCAGCACTTGCCAAATGTTTGTCTCGAAGCGCTGGTAGGGCAAAAAAAGAATGAGACATGTATAGGCTCCTTAAGAGCATTTGACGATTTGCAAGAACTAATTTAATTAGTCTAAACAAATAAAGATAATTTTGATTTTGATTTTATTGTTGTATCTATTATTGTCATATTCGAGGTATTGTATGAAGAAAGAACGATGGGCAATTACATATAAGAATACTAGCTTTCCGGCCGCGGCTTCGCCCGCGTGGAATTTTGTCTGTCACAGAAAAACTTTATCGCGCTCATCCCTGTTTCAAAAACCGGGACAAAAACTATCCTTTGTCCTTTCTCAGGACTCCAACTATCTCTATATCAAATTTCATCAAAATAGGTTCAGTGGTTTAGGCGTGAAAGCAAGACAGACAGACAGAGTTACTTTCGCATTTATAATATTAGTAGAGATTACAAAAATGAAAATGCTTTTACAATAACACATTGATTTATCCACACTGTTATCCAGATTTAGTATTAACAAAGGTTTAGCCTATATAGGCCTTTGTGAATGTAGTCCATTGTTCTCGTTCCACCATTTCCCGATATACGACTCGTATAGTGTGCTATGAATTACCATTATTCAACCATGTCTAAGTAGGTACATGAGTTTTTATGCGATCAGCGACGGACATCGAAACGGTGCTCCTTCTGATTTCCGAAAATTTTAGCGGTATATTTCATGAATATGTAAATATAAAAATCGCAGAATTACAATGTAGCAGGTTTGGTACGTACACAATATGTATAAGTTGGACTCTCAGTGTAGGCGGGCGGGCTAATTCAGGTATTAACCTGAATTAGGAAAACCCTGTATCTCCATTCTAGGGTCAAAAACAAAAGAAGAAAAATAATAACAATATTAATAAAACAACAATAACATGATGTAAGTTACATATAAACTACATAATATTATTTGATTTCCATCCTATTTACTATTGAATTACATTTTTACACTCAGTGATTTTAATTTAAACTCACAATATCCTTATCCATACCTACTAATATTATAAATGGGAAAGTAACTCTGTCTGTCTGTGTTGCTTTCACGTAAAAACTACTGAACCGATTTTAATGAAATTTGGTACACAGATAGGCTAGAGCCTGAGGAAGGACGTCAGCTACTTTTTGATGCCATCGCGCACGCGGGCTGCACGCGTTGGTTTGGTCGAACCTTTACTCTAACGTATGCGAATATTGATTTTCACCGCTGCAAATTGATTACAATTAGATTTGCTTACAAGATTTATTGTTTATGTCAATCATGTTACATAATATCAATAAATTTCAGTTTTTAGGTTATGTTAGTAAATATGTTTTCTTTAAATAGGAAACTTATGAGGTAGTATGTAGGTACCTACATAGCTTATTTAAGTATTTATGCATGTGTGTCTTATTTGTATAATAATACAAGTTTTTAATTTTTAAGTGCATTGTAAATAACTGTCTCATTAAATACATTAGCCTATTAAAAGTGCCCACCCAAAGTCATTATTACACGCGGACGAAGTCGCGGGCACAGCTAGTTCTATACACTGTATTAGAGCACTACGAGTAGACCGTTATTTCTGTCAAAAAATGTTCTCTGTTGCACAGTAGTTTAAGCAACTTAGTTTCCTCATAAGAGTGGATTTTAGAGTAAGTGTGTTCATTTTAAAGATATTTTTTTACATTCAGGTATTTTTACATTGTTATTAAAATAAGGCGAATTATTTTATATGAAAAAATACGAAAGTCGAAAAAAGTACTTAGTTCAATTTAAAAAAATGTTAATGCCTTTCGATTCTTGGAAGTGGAATTTAAAAAAAATTATGAATAATCTAGAGTTCCAGGAAATCAAAAAGAGCAAGTTGTGGAGACATCATTTTCCTTTGCCGGATGCAAAATGTAGTGGAAAACGCAAAACTAGTTTAAAAACTTCCGTTGATGTAATCTTCAGCGCTTTGACTTAGTTTTCTTTGAGATGTCGAATAAATTTAAAAATTCATCTTTCTTTCTAACTTCACAAATAGAAGTTAAATAAGAAAAACATTTAACGGAAAAAGAAAAAGTGGTTTTTACGCTCGAATTCTTCCAATTTACCTTGCGTAACGTAATGGAAATTTGTAAATGTTTCTTAAAATACTTTCTTGGAAATCATTTTTAGAAGTTGAAAGGTATTGTACCTAATACGACTAAGTACAAAATAACAAAAGCTGTCATTTCGCGGTATTCCCAGTATCTCACGAAAATACTTATTCTCCAGAGGATTACCAAAAATGATTTCAAAGATTTCTCTGTATTGCGGGCGACAGGCGCTCGGTGAAAAGTACTCTTAATGTTATGGGCTCCTCGATAGATTGGATTTGGCACAATCGGCACATGAAAATATTATTGACGGAATGGTGGGACGGATAATATTTTAGTAAGAGTCAATATTTCACGGTATCATATTATGTTATAGCGAGCAGACCGAGTTGGTGTTGTCCCGAGTGGTGGTAGGGCAAGGTATTGTTACGGGTAAAGAAACTTTATTCTCATAAGAACAAATATTTTTGGGACGTGTATAAGTGTCCTGAAAAGGGCCTACAAATAATGATTTTTGTGGCGTAGCGTGTACTCGTAGTAGAAGTTTGTGATTTATTCTCATTAGGCCACACAGCACAGCTAACCATCACCTCTTGTTGGACTCTGCTGAGCTCAACACTCGTGTAATACACTGAAAAAAATTTTTGGTTACTGCTTACACAGCAAAAGTGACCACCGAACACTTTGGTTATGAGCAAAAAAAATTTTGTGTAAATTAAACAAATAATTCTGTAGGGAGCTACACTTAGTTTGGTTATAGTTAACACTTAGTTCGGTGGTCACATTTGTTGTGTAAGCAGTAAGCAATCATTTTTTTCAGTGTATTTTCCAGAAATTGAAGTAGTATAAAATTTAAAACGGACTTATTTTCAAAACATAATGTAACTTAAAAGAGCTAGAAAAACTTGAACAGTGACCGTAGTAGCCTACTCAAATTTATTGCAATGATCAAATATTCTGGTATGTAGGTCAAACAATCGGGTAAAGTTATGTAGCCATAAACATACGCAATATAACCTAATTCATTGTTAAACTTGCGCCTGAAATCAAATCAAGGTCTTTCAGTATTGTATTTATTTTGGCCGAGTAAATATTTTAGAAAAGCAAGAATTTTTAAGAAATGCGGATATCCATTAAGCTCACAAAATCAGCGCGCTGGTCATCTATATTATTTTTCGCTGTTCCGCTGCAGCAGACATTCGATCTTTCATAACTTATTAATTTATAAGTTGGCGGGGTGGATAAATTAAGTGAGAATATTACAAACTGTGTTTGTATCTAACTAGCAATTAAAACGACACGTTCATTTATTCATTCATTTTGTCCTTGATTTATATAACGTTTGTATCACAATCACATTTCCAATCAAATAGATAGCACTTTAATAACAAATTTTGAATGATGCCCTCCTCAACCGTAGTCTTCCTCCACCCCCACTATCATAAAAGCGTTAAAATAATAGTTCGCCTCCCATTTAAACGGAGCATCATAAAGAAAACCGCTCCAAATGATCAGATAAATGTTTGATGGCGGCCAATATCGACCAGGCGCCGGCCCATAGGGCCTATTTTTGTTTCATGCATCGACCCAGCGCTCTCATACCTACGTGAAAATTTCAGGCTGCGGGGATTGGTCTGGGGTAGATGACGTCACGCGGCGCGCCCCGCCAATGGCGGCGCGGCGTCCTGCGCATGGCAACAGAGCCTTTTCAGGCTCTCTCGCAGGGACGGCCAGTCTGGGCGAGGTGATCCCAGGTGTGCCAAGCTCGCGGCAACCCTAACAAAGGTCAATATCAAACGCTTTTTAGTCGGCCATTTTTAATATTTTTGAATTTGCAACGCGGTAAACGTTGCGTTCGATTGTGTGCTTTTAGTGTGTGTGTTTTTAGAACATTTTCATTTTTTTTTATTAGTTTTTTGTGTACTAAGTGGGTATTGTTAGCGAGAAACGTGTACATTATGTTCGTTTTACATAGAAAGCTGTAGAAGGGTAAACTGCGCTATTACGTTACATAATGATGTACCAGTTACGTAACTGCTTCAATATCATCTATTTGAGTGTGTGTATAATTGATGTATATGTGTGCATAGTGTGAAAGAGAGGGGAGATATTGGAGTAGTTATTTTTCAATGAAGGTCGTTTGCGAAGACTTTCAGTAGTATCAATAGGTGGTGGTATAGTATTCATTTGTTTTTAATTTTTATAAGAATAATATAATGATCATAATATTATTTTCATTTTAAAATACATAAATATTTATTTATTTGATATCCTCCATAAGTTTATGTGAGTTTTTCCATTTAGTAATGATTAAAGTGCTTACTTCCAAATACGAGAAAGACGTTAAAATATCGTTAAAACATATCAATGTTATCTTAGCTAGTCTTTTTTTTTACAAAGAATTGAGAAAAATAAGGAAAATTTTTGCATTGGTTAGTAAGCCGTCGGCCCGAGCAGTCGGTAGAGGACACTATAGTGGCTAATAACTTCTAAAATCAGGGTTTAGTATACATATAATAAGAAAGTATTTATACTTCTATAAAAAGACGAACTTTTTTTACTTAAAGACATCTTGACTAAAAGTTTCTGTAAGTAAATATCTTTGGACATTGATATACTGCGCCTCCAGTCCCAAACTAAGCTAAGCTTGACCGAGAGCTTGAGCAAACGTGACCGAGTTTCTTCCGCTACTTCTTACTTAGTACCAGCCGATAATGTTGTCTTGAAGTGGTAGTGCGAACATATTGAGACATGTATGTGCCCTGAAGGCCTAATTATGTATTAACAAAGAATTTGACGTCAACAATAATAACAAACGTCAAGCCATGAGGACATACTGCAACTCATTAATAAATGTCGCGTTAAGACCCGTGTCTTTATATTTGAAAAGAATTTGAATTGGAAAGGTCACAGATGTAATGGATTAAAAAGAAAATAAACAGAGTGAAATGCCTTTTAAATCTTAGTTTTGTGACATAATCTTTAACTAATAGAACGTAGAGAAACACAATGAGTTAAGAAATATTTATGAAAAATAGATGACGACTGCCAATATCTATTTTTATTATTAATTGTATAACTTAAGAGCGTTTACGCCGTTTGGCGCAAAAACAGTACTTTTTCAACTCGTTACAATCATTAACCAGTAATACTACAAATATGTTATAGGCATAAATAGTTAGGCAATTTCGTCGTCTAAATAGTTAATTGAGAAAATATTGCGATTAGTTTAGCATTTAAGAATTCTATCAAGATAAGTCCACACAGGTTTTGTAAATTTCCACTTTAGCGTCAGTTTACAAGCTAAAATTTTTATAAAAATACTGTGAAAACGATTTAACAAACATTTATATCCTATAACAGGAAAAGTTTGTTTTGAATAGAACCGATTTGAAAAAATCTCTCACCATTAAAATTCAATTTTTTTTCTGCTGAACATAGGCTGTATAAAATATTCTCAAAATAGTATAAAACCTTTGATAATTTACTATTTGATAAAGAATTTACGTATTTATTATTGATTAGGACTAATGTATACCATTATTTATAATTATGGAGTCGGTGTTGGAAGATTTGAAGATTTTATAGTTTCCTTGAGCTGTCACTTGACGGCCTGGCACACTTTTACGATGGTGGATCAAAGTATTTTGGTTTGACTATAGAGCGTGAGAACACGCACACAGTCATAATTATTTTAGTGTGAATAAAACTAGCATTGAAATTACCTAAACTTGACATGCCACGCTAGACGTAAACGCTCTTAAATACCTGTATGTTGACCTATCAATAAAAATACATTCGATTGAAATTATTTTCCAAGTTGAATTATAACACGGATTATAGGAAACAATGGTTGGTTTTTAAACATCCTGCCTTTCTATATAAATACCCTCTCAGTAAACTTCTGTAAAGTCCATAAGAACTTTGCGATGTTCATTAAAAATTAAGGTTTTTGAGGAAATTATTTGAATATACCTAATTCAGAACTGTGGAAAATTTGAGAATAAGAACTAATATTAACGACACAAATCATCATCATAATGATGTGCTGAATACCAATACGAGCATTAAATAGGTTTTTATTACTAAACAATAATTTACGGGACGGATTTTGATAAAAAACATATTTTGAACTTGATACGATGGTAGTGTTAAGTTACTTTTGAACACTGAAAAGATAATGATTAATTTATTTGTGAGTCTAACAGTAGTGTAAAGAGCCACAAATAGCAATTGCGTTTCTTGCGCTAACATTTTGACCCATTATGATTAAAACGTCATTTTGAATTTGTAAAAGGGCTTCTTGAAATTTACTAAAATGAAGTGAATTTATTTTATCAAAGAACATTTGTGTTGACGTAGATTTCCGCTCACCCGTAAGCAATAGGTATAACTGCCTGACCATGACATGAACTACCTATTGGCATGGAATAAAAAAGAGAATATTTCAATCTGCGTCGACGTTTCGATTGCGGCCTTTTATAATGCAAATCCCGGTGAATAACATTGCAACTTTTAACAAAGGGAATTGAAAGCGTAATTCACAAGTTACATTTACGTTCCCAAAAGGGCGGGAAGTCATAAACTGTAACCGCTTCCGGCGCAAGATGGCCGCCGGATGCTGCGCGAGTGGCGACCTCCGGCGGCACACTTCCGGAAAGCTCTCGAGACGGGGGGAAATGTGAATTACACGTAATTTTCAGTGAAAAAGTTCACATGTTTCTCTTTTTATGTATTAATTTTCCTAATTACTTTGATGTTTGAATTTTGTGCTGCGACAAACCTAATCGCCGGTTCTTAAGCTCCGTATTAGGCACCTAATGCTTGCTACTGTTTGTAGTATTATGAATTCCTCAGATATTTCTAACAGAATTTTAGACATTTTCGTATGTCAAACGTTAGGTTAGACCAGTGGTTCCCGAACTTATTTAGTCTACTGCCCACTTTGAGAATAAATTATTTTTTAGCGCCTCCCATTTTTGTAGTCAAGAGTCGAGCTCAGTCGGTGTCTAAGAGTCCACCTAGTAGATGACGCCTCCCAAGCCTCTACACAACGTCCCGATTTTTTTTCTGGGTCTCTTACCGCCCCGCTTTAAGCCTGCAGCGCCCACAAGGGGGCGTTATCGCCCACTTTGGGAAAGACTGGGTTAGACGGAGACGGTACAATTTTAATCATGATTTTATAAATTATATTCCGACATTACCACTCAAAAGTCTTCATTCGGCTCTGAGGGCGTATGCTGGGACATTCAATGTAGATAAAAAGAAATGCTATATTAATAAACGTTATTAAGTACTGAAAAGGTAGATTTTATTAAATGTAACGTCACTTTCTGAGAGGTTTTTTAGATGGTATGAATGAAAGATGGTGTATATTCAGTGTCACAGTGAAATATTACGAGGAAAATGTACGTGATGAATGCTGGTTTAAATGTAGATTGTGTACCTGTGCTTTATTTTACCCTCCTAACGCAGTTATATTTGAAAGCGCGTACTAAGATTAGTTTTATTTGTTCCAGATCTACAAACGTGGCGCACCATGGTCCCGAACCTCTAAACAATACATATCAAAACATGCACTGAAAACGCCATTAGTTTTTAAAATAAATTATACAAGCTCGATATTTAAAAGTAAATTATAAATTAAGTGAATACTGGCCGTTCGAACGCGAATTTTGAATTTGAAAAGAGTTTGTTCGGTTGAGTTGTGTCGCGGGCGGGGCATTCGCCCCCGGGGGCTTGATCGTGGAGGAGCAAGGCGGCGCGCTGCTCGGGCGGCTGTCGGGAGCGCTGCGCGGGCGCGCCGCGGCCGCCTCGCCGTCGCGCGTGGCCAGCTCCATCCGGGGCTACCTCACCGACAAGGTCGGATCGCTGCAGCTCAGAGACACAGGTCAGTGACTATTTTTATAATTTAACTTAGATTTAGGCAATCCTTGCTCCGATTTCTGAGCTGTGAGGCAATACTTAAAAGCCTAAATAGGGTATCACGGCAGCGGGGACTATCAGAAGTGAGTCTTTATTCCAAATAGGCTACGGGACTATTCCCACCTCTCGTTCCCACCACTGCAAAACCTGTGTAGCCAGGATCTACAGCTTGACCGCCACAAAAACCCAACCAATGAAGGTCAAGTTTGTCCCGGGGGAAAGTTAAACTGTCATTGGACCCGCAACGAAATTAATTATAAGAACATAGGAGGAGCTCGAAATTAAGGTTCGACTTCCCTCCATTGCAAAGCGGATGACAGGTGACAAACAAAGGTTTAAAACCTTTAAGAAAAGACTATGCACCACGGACAATAAATATTATTAAAGGGGGCCTATCTTATGAGCAACTACCTGCCAATAATATTTTTCACAAAATCACTTTAAAGCACGGAAATTTTTCCTTCGGCTAAAGGAAATGTATGATCTCATCTTTTCTTTATGGTTGTGAATATTCCAAATAGGCTGTCAAACATGACATCAGTCTTAGTGCTGGAAAACGAGAGATCGGAAATTCATAAAACTATAAATAAAAACATCCGGCTCGAAGGACCAATTCTATGTACTGAGGAAGACTTAATTTGATTGAAACAGATGTCACCTAAAAATAACTTTATCAATATCAAATAAAAACAATATAAAAGCCATACGCAGCAAAGAGAGCTTTTTGCACAAACATTGGTGTGTTTAAATTAGTGTTTGGAATTTGCACTGTATGCAGTTACATCAAGGTTCATTTTCGTGATTGGGGAGCATTGTTTGTTGGGGGTAGACACAGCTAACGATGAGCAAATATTTGTGAAACAATGCCGTCGGAAAACAAACAGGGGCGTTATGACGTAATACACGGCTTGTGTCAATATGAGCATCTTTGTATTGGATGTAACATCTATAAAACCGAATTATGAAGAATGTGCAGTTAGTAAGTTATTAAAAAAGCACAACCTGAAAAAACTATATTATGAAGTTATTCCTGTATTGTATGTATTATACGAGATGAAAAAGGTGTCTATCAATTTTATGGGTTTTGTTTGTATGAACATCTTATCTTAGGAGATTATAAGATCAAATGACACTTATTTAGACAGGGATAAACCAAGCAAATATATAGGTAAAAGTAAGTTTTCTGATTATCACACTCATTAGTATCTTCCTCAGAATTGATCCGTGTTTTAAAAAGACATACATTTATTCAATTCTATTAATGGATCTTCGAAAAATAAAGATGCCAACATTTAACAACGGTATAGTGTATTGCAATAAGCATTGTATACGCGTTACTATAGCAATTTTCACAACACTTTCAAGAAAAAGTAATCTAAATTTCATTTACTTAACGTTTACAATTATAAACTCGTTTCAAATTATATTATCAGCCCAAGCCCGTCGCGTGACAACGTCGTCGACTTAAACGGTCGGGGTGAGGCTTAGAGCCAAAGCACACGATACGTTGCGGCGCCGCACTGCAAAAATTTCGCCGTATCGCGCGGCCCTGCACCGCTCGAGTGCCCCAGATATTCTATGTAAGCGACAGCGCACACAGCGTCATATCGCACGATATACGCGGCCACAAAACGCGCGCGTCGTTTCATAAATTAGCTGTCGTCACGACTGCGCGACATGTCACGACGACAAGCTAATAATATGAAATGACACTCGCGTGCGTTGTGGCTGCGTCTGACGCCGCGTTTTGTCGCCCAATAATGTACTCGTAAGACGACGCAGTGACACCGCTCCGTCGTCGCACCGCCTGCCGAAAAGCATCGTGTGCTTTGGCTCTTACTCCCAATTATATTTCGTGCTCGTTGTGGGCATAACTTTGTAAGCCCGGGTTTGCTCAAACGGCGCAAAGTTTGTAAACCAGGGTTTGGGGGTTGTTAAAGAAGGGTCTGGCCTTAATAGGTCATTGCATGTGGGAGCATATAAATTATTTTAAAACTAGGACACTGATTTGAACTGACCGAGTTTAGTGTTGATTCAACGATTCAACGTTTTTTACGTCTCTACGTAGCCTTTACGTTTTGACATTCCTGCGAGCCAAAATCGGATAAGCTTTACGAGCATTACTGGTGTTGAGGTTCGAAAAGTCTCTCTTCAGAAGCTGTATAAACAATCAAGGTCGTAAGAGCCAGGACCCCAAGATCAATTATCCCTAATGACACAACCACAAAGGCTTTTGACAGTAACACAATTAGGAGCCCTGACTCCCGGCAGACACGGAGCGAACCGATAATTCGTTAACTCGGCGAACTTTGCGTTTTATAGGGCTGTCAACGATTTAGTTAGACACATTTCTTTTCCACTTTATTTGGGAGAGCTATACCATAATATGCTTTAATTTCATCGAAAAAAAGGATATAACATAGTAACATACTATGGACGGAGTAAGTAATATAGAAACAGCAAAATTTGGTTTTAGCAAATCAAATAGAATCGTATATTTATGCAAGTAGGCTCCCAAAGAGCACTTTTACACGTCCCAACCCTACCACTGTTTCGGGAAAGTAATATGGGGCTTGTGCTGAGAAGTAGCAGCGCAAGAAACCCCAGTAGAATTATAATACTCAAAACTCTGGCATTTGGTACAACTTACAGTCTTCTAACTAAGCATACTTTTTTAAAGAGCTGTTTTTGCAGTCTAGATATTTTACACAAGTCTAATATACATAGTATACCTTGTCTTTATTTATCAATTGAGCCTGTTTATACACAATGATACGTATCTATATGTAATCGCATCAAATATCGTCAACCCTACCCCTGTTAATTACATCATCGTCTCGGGTTCGAGCCCTGTTCGCTACACATCGCGACACCGTGTAATCCGATGACGCTCGTTGATTGTAAGCACCTCGTAATTGGCTGCTCGCGATTACGACGATTGGAGTAATTTGGGCTGTTTAAGGTATCAGGTTCTTAGAAAGAGGTGTATAACTCTTCCTTGTAAGAAAATCTAATTAATTTCATATTTCCTCAAGTGTCATTTTCGTCATTGTTACCGGACATTACTGTTTTAAATCACAATTTGAATACTTCGAACGATTACTAAAGGTAATTACGTTATAAATGAAATTTGTTTTCATGTTTCCACATATCTTTCAACTCATCTTTTCTTTGTAATTCGATTGATATACAAGTACCAAGCGTCACATTTACGAATCTCGTTTCACGCGCGCCGCCCCAGAGCCGCGAAATACCATTTGCGGTGAGAATCGACACCCTAAGATTATGCTGATGTTGACTATATTCCGACTCAGAGTTCAATTTCAAATGCTGAGCTTTGGCATGCATGCCAGGAAAGATGATAATGTAATAATATTACTGGTATCTCAATGACGGAAACATATGTAATACATGCAAGGACCTTGATAGGTATTGATATTGTCGATGTAATTACTTCATATTTCAATGACAACAGAACTGATTGTCCTTTGAATATACTAGGCAGCTGTCGATTGTTTGCTGCACGCCAGCGTTTCAGCTGTGCGTTCTCACAGTTCAATTTATATCCTCAGTTTATACCATTTCTCTGACGGCGTTGCTAATAGAGTTTCTACTAAGCATTTGCTTGATTACATACATGAACTTTAAATATGAACTTGCCCAATTACTGAACTAAACTTTGAAAGCCACAAATGGGAATGAAAATATTTCTTAATTAGTGAAGGCTGAATCGAAAGTCACGACAAAAAAAAACAAAGGCAGAGTGAAACTGACACAACCAGCAACGAAACCAATTTGAAACACTTCATTCACATACTCAGCATTGTTACATTATGCGTATATCATTCGCATACAATTATATGACTTCCCAAATAATGTCAAACACCAGGCAGCGAGGGGAGGCAGGGGCGAGGGCTCACTCCCCCCATGAATATTTGATGCACTCCCGACCAGTGTACAGTCGGGCACAAAACAACTGCTCGCGTCTCAACCTCGCTGACATTGAAATTCAAATGAAAATGGACGTGTATTTATTACCTAGCTGTACATGATAATATTACGCGATATTACGTCAGATAATTTTGAAATGTATTCGAAAATAACATCCTGAATTTTCTATGTAATTTCTTATATCATGTGGGTTCTAACAAAGGATGATCGAGAAGTCGTCTGCTGTATTTAATTTAAAAAAAAATTACAGTCAGAAATACCTCCTCCTTTATGAAGTCGGTTCGAAAGTATTTTGTAAATACTAATGTTTCTATGTTTATTATCACTATCGAAAAAGATATATTATTCAAGTAGCTTATGGGGTTGAATAAGCACGCACGAATCGAAAATTAATAAATCAAACTTCCAAAGTCGTTAATGGCTTACTAATGAAGATCTCGATAAATCGATTACAAGCACACTCGAGTACTTTCCCTGATTACAAGCGATTGTATCATCGGTGTCACGTGCCACGGGTGCTTTGACAACGCGTGACAAATAGGTTCCATGCGATAACTGCGGAGGAATATGAACTTGAGTTATGATTGGGGTCATTTTGTTCAAAACTACCCTAAACGTGCACTGTTAAGTCGGTGCAATAGAGTCGAAAATCAGCCGTTTTATGTGTACGTGTGCAGGATTACTAATAGCCGTGATTGCGATCGCCCTTTTGAGTATGCGTGTCGAATGCTATGGAGGGCGAAGGATTTATATTATAGTGATTTTGGTCGGGTAATGCTAGTTCTTGTAATAAACTTCGTCTAAGAAAGTAGAGTTTTCTACCTAATGTTATTTGTCCAAAAACTTGGAATTACCATTATTTGGTTTCTGATTTATTTAGGAAGCATATAACAGTCATAGTATTTAATGCTTAGACGAATCACAGTAGTAAAAGTATAATAATGGTTCCTTTTCATAACAATTATGAATTATTACATAGTATTTTATATCAGCAACTTTATTGATAAAAATTTT